ATTCTGATGTATAAAGTACCAGAAAAAAATACTTAATAAAAATGTCAAATATCGTTACAATATCAACTTCAACATAAATTATTTTGCAATCAAGTAATTTTTTCTTAAGTTTAAAACAATGATTATTATTGCAAAATCTGTTATTTTCTTTCGTTTAAATCATTCTTGATGAATCTGGTCAGTGACTCTGAAATTAAGTTGGCACCACTGCTTTGAAAAAATGAAGAAATATGTCGAGTTTGAAGTTGAACCGCCCGATGAAAAGCCGTAAGCCGTAAAAGCCTTGAAACAAAAAAAAAATCATCTCGAATTACTCCGATCGTCTTACAACAGCCCAAATGTAGTGTAAAAGTGTCACCGGGGGGTCTGTGGAAGTTGTCCAGCTTTGATATGACAGTGATGTACAACATCTGCAGTCATTCGAGAAGCCAACCAGCGGGATATCCGGACATCAACCACTAAAGTGCCAAAAAATCGTTTTGTCTCACAAAGTTGTTTGTTTCGTTGTAAATTCCAAATTGTTTTAGAAACAAATATGATTTGTGTATTTGTTAAAGAAAGAGGAAACAAACTGTACCAGTCAACGTCAATGTCGGGATTGGAGACGGCACAAATGGTGGCTTCACCCACAATTTCACTTATCTAAATACCAAAGCACTTAATGTAAATATATCATTTTTGGTTTTATTTATTTGGAAAGTAAGCAACTTGATGGTGAGGGGTTGATCGATTTTTCACACACAAAATCAAAACAAATATTTGTTTTCTATCAAAAATATAAAAACGCTAATCCAGAAAAAATAAATTATTTGTATTCATAATTTTGTTGCGAAATATATGATGATCATATGTTAACGTATGCTGTGCTTTTGTCGGTAGAGCTTTAGGAAGCTTTGGATTAACTTTTTCCCTTCTTTTCGCTCCTTGATCTTCATCCGCAGGCTGTTGAATATTTCTTTTGTTATTACAGTTTGCGGAAACCACATATCTTGTGTGTGACTGAAAGTTTCTCGACGAGGATTTACATTTATTATAATTAATTCGAGCAAATAATTTTTTGTTATTACAGTTTATAGCACAATATTTGCACGAAATATATTTTCGTTTAATTAGTGGGGCGTGATTTAATGTTAATCCGATGCGAAATTAATAAATCGTCATGGTGAAAAATTAAATTGATAATTTATTGGGTTATTTTCACCCAAAACAACCATTAATGACAAAAGTAAATAAACACAAACGGAAATTTAAATTTGGTTTTTTCGACTTATTTGGGTATTCGTACAAGATGAGTTCTAAATGGATTGCGTGGGAATGTTTAGACTTTGGCATGTCTAAGCTTCTTATCTTTCCAAACACGTGGTAATGACGGAAAGTCCGTACGTCAAAGAGTTTTTCCGGGAACTGACATTGCTTTCAAAAGAATATTAGTCGGGAGGCAAACCGGAAAAGTGTTGGTTTTAATCCGTTTGGGAAATAAGGAAAGCTGCTTTTTGACTATTGTTTGCTTTACGAAGTTGTTTCATGTTTTTGATGTGATTATGGGAGAAGTACATACTCACAAAATCATTTAAAAAGAGTATTGGTTTCAAACTTTTCGAATTTATTTTTTGATAATATATTTTCTTGGAAGTGTAATGTTTTTTGAAAAATAATAAAGATTGAAGA